TTACAGATGGACTTTGAGTCTCCACTCTGCACCCTCCGTCATTTACATTGATATGATTTTTTGTTTTGGGTCTTTGATGCCTGATACCTGATTCCATCGACACCTCATGATCACACAGGCTGGTGTGCTTCTTCCATGTGGGCTTTGTTGCATCTAGGCTAGATGGCTGCTTGTTTATCTTCAAACCTTTAAGACCCCAATCACTGTATCTTTTGATAGCCGGGAACCATCAGCTTGCTTCACCCATTTGCTTATGCACCCATTTGTCTTCAGCGATTGTGTCAGGAAGGTGAGCATCACAGAATGCCGATTGTTAGAACGAAGTGTTCTTGCGTTGAGGGAATACTTCAGTAGAGGCCCAATGTCCATCTGCTGCCTTAATACTTAACATGTAAATATATGTACATAGATCTAATTCCCTATCATTATATATAAATATATTTATATAGGTACATGCCTGTATTTAGACCTCTATAAATGTCTTTGGCCCCCTTGTTCTTTCCTCTATTTCCTATGAAAAAGTAGTATGTTTAAGTTGTTAACATACTATACTTCTGACTACTATTTACTTTAATCAATATGTTTGTAATTAGAGCTAACATTTGGTCTTTCATTATATTGCAAAATCGTGAAATTTTTGCATTTTTGAAAAATCCTCAAGAACTGTAAAGATTCTCTCTCGCTTTTCCTTCTCACTAATGGAAGTTGACACTTTTGAAGGAAGGGAACATTTAAAATGTTATGCTTTTAGCAGCAGCCTTGTATTACCGTTTCCAAGTGTCGGGAACTTGTTGACAAGGTGACGCAGCATGGGTGCATCTGACACTGCTTAGAGTGAGAGTTCATAGGGTAGGGTGAATGTGCAGGGCGAAGATTGGCCTCATCATATCACAGAATCATATGTCTCTTCATGAGTTAGTTATACCCAGCAAGATATATATCTTTGATTGGTCATTGACCGATAATAATAAAGTCTCTTTTTCAATAGACTGGCTTAGCAGCGTCACAACTCAAAGCCTTCTTAGATTTACTGAATATAGCAGACATTCCCTTTTAACCTTGATTTTAATTTATAGATTACTCAGTGTCATTTGGATAGCTAAAACAGTTGCCACGGTAACTCCAAGGGCAATCAGATTTCTTTCTATTTGCATGTCCATGTAGCGATGTTTTTATGTGGCTTGGGACGACAGGGAAATACTGAAGAGAAAGGGTTTGCTCCACATGAACACATGTCTGAATGGCCCCCACCTGTTAACAGAGCAAGTCAAGTCGGGGAGAAGCAACCTGGGGCTTCCTGTTACTCCTACCTAAGCCTCTCCAGCAGCATTAGCAGTATCAACTTGATCCCATGCACTGCAGCTTATAATTCTTAACGTGCAAGACAGGCACATTGCATCCCTTGCATCAACTTCTCACCAAGCTTTCCTTTTTGTGCACCACCCTTATTTCCCCAGAGCTCTACCTGAGTCCTGAAGATTTGAAAAAGCTCCACGATTTTGAAGAGCAGTGTGTGGGAGAGTACTTCCACGAGAAGGTGGAAAGCCTGCACTGCAGTTGTGAAGAACAAATTCGGGTGACATCAGGAAGGTAAACGATATCGTTTTCTTTATCCTCAAATTGCTCTCAAAACCTCATTCGAGAACTAAATCTTCTAGAACATCCCCAAATCAGGGTGTTTAGAAGGGTAGAACATTGCACTTCTAAGCGAAGAGATTTGGGTTCTCAAAAATGGAAGCATTCAGTAACACATGATACACTATTCATTCCATATGCATGTTTATTGAGCACATACTACGTTGCAGACACTCTTTTTGTTCCCAGGGATAAGCGGTTAGAAAGAGGCAAGCATCCCTCTCTTCAAGGACTTATATTCTGGGGTGTGTGTGTGTGTGTGTGTGTGTGTGGTGGGGGTAGAGGGAGGGCAAAATGTAAGCAAGTAAACACATTATTTAGTCTTAGTTACAGAGCTACGGGGAGAAATAATGTAGCTTAAGGGAGTAGGGAATGAGAGAGGAAGTTGGATTTCACTTGGACTCTTGGATAGCACAGTCCAGGAGAATGAGCAGGTGACCAGGGAGCAGAGACCAGAAAGAGAAAGAGAGCAGAGGAAGCCAGGCAAAGACACTTCATTTGCATGGTATGCTATAGTAACCTCAGTTGATAGTCCATAGTCACTTTATTTGTTTGCCATACTGTCCAATCCCAGGCCCAGATCAAAAGTATCAAATCATATTGTTCACAGTTTACTCAGGAAATGTAACAAGCCCAAAGATGACCCTTTGGAGTTTAAGGGGGAAAAAAATCTCTCATGCTGTCTTTCCAAGGAACCAAGGCAAAAGATCCGGTGAAGGAAGGCAATTCAGCCCCCCTCAACTGATGGATTGCATCGTATTTGGTTGCATTGTGGAAGCTACTCTCACCAGCTTATTTGATCCCGTGTGGCTGCTACATCTAACCGGTCCTCTGCCGGTTTGACCTCCTGTGGTGGCTTGTGGGGTGCTGTGAGGCTGGAAGCTCCGTCACTGGTATTTCAAATGCCAGTAGGGCCACCCATGGCAAACAGAGTTCATCAGGGCTTTCAGGGTGAAACACACTAGAAAGAAAGGCCGGATGATCTGCTTGTGAAAATCAGCCACCAAAGCCTCCGTGACCCACAGACTTGTCTGAGAGGTCACTGCACTTCGCTTCCTTTGGCTGGGTGCTCAGGGGAGGCCGAGTATGAGAAACGGACGGACAGCATGCGAAGTAAAGGAGAGGGTCAGCGAGGCAAGAGAAGCCCTCGGAGAGAGAGACTGACACAGTGGCCACCATGGTGGCCTGGAATAGCCTGACTCACAGGGCAGCACAGGACCACGCAGCATGTCCATCTGTGATGCAGAAGGTTCCCCGACCGACAGCTCCAGGACAGTCACAGGACTAGTGCGTGGGCTTACTTGATAGACCAGGAACCACTGCCTAGTCAGGTGGACACCTCCACCAGCCATCCCAGGACCGTTAGAAGATCTCTTCATGTTTCCTTTGGTGAAGTTGAGTTGACTTCAACTCATAAGGACCCTATGAGTGGATCTGACCCAGGAGGTTTCCTAGACAGCAAACTTGTATTCTTACAGAATTAAGTGAGTTGTGAAAGTGGGGAAAGAAGAGAGCTTGTTAAGGCTGTTTACAGAATGTAATTTGCTTCTGTATTTCCAGCACTGGCTTGTTTTTGACCCTAGTCGTAAACCAACATTTCCCTTCTAGTCTGTGGAGTAAGATGTGGTGCCGTGTTCCTTCACATTCCGCACGTTCGGATATGGCGTGTTTGCCAAACGCTGCCTTGGAAAGGAAAGTGTAAGTGCTTTACCATAATGCACATAGTGACTTGAAAACAGAGTTGTGGTTTTAGAAAGTCGCATTGTTGTTATTTCTTTTCTTTCTGGTTTTCCGGGAACTGTTAAGTGATAGCGAAGAACACCTCTCAGAGGGGAATGTTGGTGTGATTATTTCATGCTCCCTGGTACTCTAGTCCCCAAAGACCTTGCCCTGTATAAGTTACTGACAGGTACTAGAGGGCAGTGGCTAATGACGTCCACCATGACGCCAGACTGTCTGGGTTTAAAGGTTGACTCTTTTACTAACCAACCATGGCATTCTGACCTAATATTTCTTCTATGGAAGAGTCAACATTTCTGCTTATTTCCTAGGGTCGTTATGCGAATTAAATAAAATTGTATGTGTAGGGACTTTGTGAAGTTCCTGGCACATAGTGAGCACTCGGTGACTATGAGGTTGATTATAATTACCTTTGTGATCATCTCATTTGAAAGACCGAAGACTTAGGATAAAACAATAACCACCCCAATCTTCTCTTCACTCTCATCCTGGCTCAGATGAAATAAAAGTGATAAAAGATTTGATTGTACATGTCCTAATGACTGAAAAGGTAGATTGAATTAATGTAGCCAGTGGTCTAGGGACAGAATTAAAATGTGTTTTGTAGGACATCACAGCTCTAGAAAATAAGTGTCGGTAAAAGCAAGAAGGCCCAATTCTAAGGGTGACCAGGTTATTTGCCTAAGAGGTTTCCATTGTGCTGTGTTACCTGTTGCCGTGAATAGTTGCTGGTTTCTATTGTATCCATTTTACATGAGGGCTGCTAATGGAATTTAATGAGTCTCCATTTACGGCTGTTCAGATTGCACTGTTTTTGAATTAGACGAACCAGTGAACTGGTGGAGCGGTGCTAATTAAGCGTATTTGGAAGAGAATAGACATACGTTTTGTTCTCTCTCCCGTACCATCGTTGCCAGTTCCAGGGTTGCTGTTTCCGGAGGGTCGGGAGCTCTCATTAAGCTTCTACTGAGTTATAGCAGAAGCAAGGAAAGAGAGGACTCTGCCTATATAGGGTGCGATACAAATGGAAAACACTACGCTCTTTATTTTTTAATACCTACCTACAAAGCTCCCCAAAAGAACTGGAAGCTCTTTCAGTCCACGTGAGGAGACGCGTTCCACACAGGGAAGGTCTGGCGCGGCTTTGGACAGCACTGGATGCAGTATGAGGTGTTAGGCAGGGTAGTATAGTTAGTACTTCATTTGCTCCTAAAGAAGAGTGGGGGCCATTCTTTATTTCTCATGTAGTGGTGTCCAGAGGTGAAACTACTGGTTCGATTCACTTCCCCTTGTTATTTACTTCATTCTAGTTGATCAAAGGTTTTTATTATTGAGGAATTTGAAAATATCTTCTTTTTTCCCTCAAAGAAGCAAATCACAGAAGAATGAAGAGGAATAAAAGAAGGGACATTCTCGAAGGTTGCCTTAATGTGCTTCATTTAAGAAAAGTAACCGAATGATGAGTGCGTGCACGTACGCAGCGGAAGCTTTGTGTGTCTGTTGCCCTCATGCGGATCGGTAGCTGGACATAAAATCTTGGGATAAAGCTTTCAAAATAATTTACAGAATTGTTTCAGGAATTTTATGAGTATAGTTCCGTTTGGAATTTGGGGAGCCTATTGAAGCCGTAGACTCGGAGCCTTGTTTGTTTTTTGAATGTCTATAAAGTCCTTCCCATCCCTCAATTACATATTTGATTCTTGATTTTGTTCTCAACATTCTGGTCTCTCCCTCAGGATTTCCTTTCCCCATAAAAATAGCCCAGTGCTTGCCTAGCAGAGTTATTAGAATATTTGTCATGCAAATAACTGAGTGAACACAGGGTGATTAATCCAATGACTAGCGGGATGACTGAAAGGAAGATGGAAAGGCAGTTTGATGTGCAAGAGAGGAAGAAGGACTGGAAATGTAGAAGTGTAACCTTTTCTCTTTGGGGTGTGTCTGAGTTACCTAGTGATGCTGGAACAGGAAAACCACCGTGGGTCACTGTAACAAACAGAAATCATTCTCTCACAGTTGAGGAGGCGAGAAGTCCAAATTCAGGGCACTAGTTCTAGGGGAAGTCTCTCTCTCTGTGGACTCAGGGATACTTCTTTCCATATCTACGGAACTCGCTTTGTGCCTTAGCATCATTGCTCTCATTCTAGGAGGTTGTTTGCTCAGGAACCCTTGGTCCACAGGTCGACACCATTCCTGGCTATTCTTTCTTGGTGGTTGAGGGCCCTGCTTATCTGCTCCACTCTCTCTTTTCACCGCTGGTATAAGCAAACACCCTGCTCCATAGAAATTCCCCTTACATAGGTTCAGGGCTCTTATCTGAGTAAGGAAGGGTGTTGCGTCCCACCCTAATCCCCTTACAATGGCTCGACTTATCACGTCATGGAGGGTGATCACATCGTTTCATAAGTGCCAGTAAGAATCACAGCTGAGGCTGAAGAATCACCTGTGGATGAAAATAGGACAGGCAGAGAGTAAGGCAGGTTATCATTGACTTCATGTTTATAGTTTTTCTCTCTTCTCTCACAACTAGGGTTACAGATATGGACTTTCAACTGAAAGAAATGAACGAGAAAGTGTCTTTTATAAAGGACTCCTTAATGTCGTTGGACAGCCAGGTGGGACACCTGCAGGATCTTTCTGCACTGACTGTGGATACCTTAAAAGTTCTTTCTGCCGTTGACACCTTACAAGAAGACGAGGCTCTCCTGGTTGACAGAAAGCATTCTACCGGCAGAAAGGCTCCCCACAGCTGGAGCAATGTTCCCTGCGCAGAAGTTCTGGGGAGTGTGAAGATGACTACGGAGAAGAAGTACCGGTTCTATAGTACGCCCCCTTCTTTGCTACAGAGACTGGCCAGAGACCCACACCCTCCAAGGGCTCAGGGGAGGCCCCTTCTTGAGATGACAGATAGCCTGCGACAAGCTCCAAATGTAAGAGGCGGCCAGAAAGAGCAAGAAACACACAATGGCATAGCTACTTCTGGGATGTCTCTCAACTGGCAAGCACATGCAAGATATGGCCATTTCCTCCTGGTCCCTTCTTATCTGAAGCGAACTTCCTTTTCTGCAGAAACGGATTTGTCACTGTCCAGACCACCTGTGGAAGCCGGGGCAGAGATGCTGACACCAGAACGGGTCATCCAGAGTCAGGCTCCCGTTCATCTGAGTCGGCAATTGTCTCAGTCACCAGTTGGCTCAGACCAAGAGTTAATAGCTGAACCCACAAAGCAGTATGAGCCTATCACTCAGGTACCAGCCACGCACGATAAGAGGGAACACGTCCTGCTTCCTTTGCGTTCCAAACCTGCACCCATGAAAGCAATCTCCCTTCCTTGCCAGGTGGACAGCATGCAGACTGGAGGTGGATATGTGAACTGGGCCTACTCAGAAGGCGATGAAACTAGTATGCATAGCACCGAGAAACAGTGGCAAACCTGCTTACCCTTCCCTCGTAACCGGGACTCCAGTCAGAGTGGACCCTGCCAAATGCACAGTCAGGCCCAATCCCTATCCGAGAACGCAGCAGCGCCGGCTCAATGTGGTGATTGCTCAGAGGTGGGGTCATGGCTCCAGCCGAACTCTTCCTTTTGGATGAGTCCTCTCCGAAAAAGAAGCAGGTCCCTCGTTAGGAACCATAGTTTCAGATTCCACAAAGAAGAAAAATTGATAACGACCTGTAAGATTAAAAGTAAGACGTATGCTCTTTTTTTTCCCCCAACTTGTACTAAAACTACATTGCTCTAGGTACTTTTTCTTAATGATTCTCCCTATTCTTTCCGCCTTTTCTGTAAAACAACATAGTTTATCCAGAGAGACTGAACCTTATACATCATTTTTTTCTCACAGAAATTTCACACTTCTCTGAAATAGGGCCATCAGCATGGGTCAAAGAAAAAATGCTAACGAAACCCAGGAAATTATCAGGGGAAAAGAAGAAAGCCCCGAGACTGCAGGTGCCCGTAAGTCTGCCCGTATTTTTATATTCTGGGTACTCGAGGTCCTGGTCTAGTTTGGCTGGTTTTTCATTAATAAAAGTTTCATAAACACAAAGTAGTGTTAGAGTGTTATGAGTTTAGACAGAACATTTAGAATTATCAGAGTGGATTTACTATAATTTATATGTATGTTCTTATATGATGGTTTTGGTTTTCCTTCAGTTTTTAGTGTTGCAAAATGAACATTTGTGTACAGGTCTTTATGTGGACGTATGTTCTAATTTCTCTGTACCTAACAGTGGATTCTTGGGGTCTTATGGTAAGTGTATGCTTATTTATTTCAGTGGATGTTAAAATATTTCCCGAAGGGGCAGTACCTTTTTTATATTCGCACCAACTCTTCCATGTACTTACCAACACTCAGGATGCTCGGTCTTACATTGTACACACTCTAGTCGACGTGTAAGGGGTCCCAGTGGCAGTGTCGTGGGTGTCAGGCTACCCACCTACACGTCAGTGATGCATCTGCAAGGCCAGTCCCTCTGCTCCCATCAAGACCGATGGTCCCAGAAATCCTGTGCACTGCTGCGATTCCATAGCAGTAGGTTCGTCGACGTGGAGTGGTAGCTCATGGTGATTTTCATTTGTCTGGTGATCAGTATTGTTCAGCATCTCTTCATCTGCTCAGTTTCTCTCTCTCTCTCTCTCTCTCTCTCTCTCTCTCTATATATATATATATATATATATATATATATATATCTTTGGTGATAAATATGCTCAGATTTTCATGTTGAAATCTCGGTGGTTTGTGCTCTTACTAAGTTGTGTGAGTTCATCATACATTCTAACTATACGTTCTTGGTAACATATGCGCTTTTCAAATATTTTCTCAATCTATGGCTTGACTTCTCTTTTTCATAAATGTCCTTTCATTTGGATGGAATCGTGTTTTCCCGCCTTTTCCGTAAAAAGATATGCTTTGGGTGACATATTAAAAAGTGCCCAGTTGCAAATCACTCTGATTTTCTGCTGTGTTTCTTTTAGAAGTTGCATGGTTTTAGTTCTTACACGAAATGTGCAAACACCAGGGTTAGGAAATCAAGTGGGACGAACATAGTGGCATTTCACCTTGAGTAGAAAAATTCAAGCCTCATGTTACAATATGGAAGATGTCTCTGGGCAAAGATATTGATTGATGTGCGAAGCATCAAAGGAAGGAATACACAGATAACTATCAAAAGATAAAAAGGTCACCGTTTACCCATTTCACCAGTAGCATATGAGGAACGGAAGGGACTCCAGTCCTCTCCAGCCTCACTGAAGGACTCCCACCTGAGAGGTTCAGTGGCTACATGCCGCTGGGGAAGTGCCAAGCAAAAGGGAAGACGGCTACCTCGCCAGCCCTTCCAGTCAGGGCTGCTGCAACAAAGTGTGTATGTGCATCAGCGAGCAATATCATTAATACCACACACAAGTAAAATTTTGCTGAAGAGAATTTAACAAATGACCACAGCAGTGCATTAGCAGTGAACTGCTAGAACTTCAAGCCCGATTCAGAAGAGGACTTGGACCGTAGGCTACCATGGCGACATCAGATAGATGTTGGCTGAGAGCAGATCATCCCAGAAAGGTGTTGACTGTGTTCTATTCACTAGGGATAGTATTAGACTGTGTGGATCATGATAAACTGTAGGTACCATTGTTAAGAACCGTTACTCTAGAACCCTAGATTGTGTTTACAGACCAACATGCTCTCGACCCTTCAAGGCATGTTACCTTCTCTAGGAGAAGTCTCTTCTAATATGTTGAAAGTCTGTGAACTGAACTTTCGCGACCCCCACTTCCGGGAGCATTTGGGTTGTACTTTTTTCAGGACAGTTTTGTTTATTCTCCTGGGAGTCTGTGGCATAGTCAAGATTCTTGGACAACACAGTATCTTAGAGGCAACAAATCCTTTCCAGTCTTCCTTATTTGGTAACCAACTTTTGCATGTGATCGTTGTTCAAATAAAACAAGGGATGTTGCATAAATCAAAATCAAGAAAATATGTGGCAGGCTTGTATCTTTTCAGAATACTTTATCCAATCTGAATGCTGAGCAAATAATCCGAGAAGCTGGACCACATCAGAGGAACGCAGCATCAGGATTAGAGAAGTGCTCATGAACAGCCCAGGGAATGCAGACGGCTCAAAGACGGCTTGTTCAAAGTCAAGAGGACTTAAAGTACTTGCTTATGAAGATCAAAAAGCACTGTCTTCCCCTGAACATAAAGAAAACACAATCCTCACACGATCCTGATAAACAGAAAACATCGAAGTCATCAAGGATTTCATTTCACATGGGAGGACCCACAATTAGTGTCCATGGAAGCAGAAGTCACGAAATCAAATGACATATTGCACTGCACAAACTTGCTGTAAACACCTCTTTCACGTGTTTCAAAGCAAGGTTTTCACCTCTAAGACGAAGGTGGACTTGACCTAACCCTTGGTATTTTCGTTTACTTCCCCTGAATGCAAAAGCTGGTTAACAAACAAGGAAGACTGGAAAGGATTTGTTGCCTTTAAGATACTGTGTTGTCCAAGAGTCTTGACTATGCCACAGACTCCCAGGATAATAAACAAAACTATCTTGGAAAAAAGTACAACCAGAGTGCTCCCTGGAAGTGAGAGTCATGCAACTTCATTTCATGTACTTTAGACATATTATTAGAAGGGACTTTTCCTAGAGAAGGTAACATGCTTTGAAGGGTTGAGAGTCAGCATAAAAGAGTACGGCCGTGGTGAGATGGAGTGACACGGTGGCGTCAGCAATGCCGCAAACATAACAAAGTGGGAACAGAGCATGTACACCTGCTACAGATAAGAGCTCTCGACACCCAGAAGCCAGGACAGATAAGCCCTCAGGACCAGTATGGAGGGTGGCGATATCATGAGGGTAGGGGGGAAGGTGGGGGGAGAAGAGGGAGAAAGGGGGAACCGACGGCAATGATTGACGTACAAACCCCCCACCCCCTGCCTCCCAGGGAGATGGACAACAGAAATGTGGGTGAAGGGAGACAGCATTTGGTGTAAAATATGAAAATGAAAATTTAATAAATTATCAAGGGTTCACATGTGTGGGAGTCGGGTGGGTGGAGGGGCGGAGGAGCTGATACCAAGGGCTCAAGTAGAAAGAAAATGTTTGGAAATGATGATGGCAGCATCTGTACAAATGTGTTTGATAAAATTGATGCTGTCAGAGTCCCCAATCAAATGATTTATTTAAAAAAATAAAAATAAAAACATAAAATGAGGATGGTGCTGTACTGGGTAGTGTTTGTTTGGTTTTCTCTCTCGTACATAGGGTCACTATGAGTCAGCATCTAATAACAGCAGTTCTTACATTTATATCTAGATTAATTTTGAGTATAGAATTCATTTTTGCATATAATGATAGATAAGGGTTGAGATTCTTTCTTTCTTTGGACTACAAACTTCACGTTTTCCCCTTTCTCAAAATGGTTTACTCCCGGCACCATGAACATCACCCGGGAACATCTGAGATTGCAAAATTGGCCCCCTTCCCTGAACCAGAACCCTCAGAGGAGTCCAGCAACCTGTGGTTTCAAACAGCCCTGTTAATTCTGGCGCAGAATCAGATTTGACCCACACCCTGGTTCTGAACCCGGGCTGCAAATACAAACCGTGCTGATGATTGAATGGCAGGTTTTGGGGTTTTTTTTTAAGCTTCCCAATTGATGATTGTGTGTTGGGCTGCTAACCACTAAGTTAGTAATTTGAAACCAGCAGCTATACTCCTCAGGAGAAAAATAGGGCTTTACTCCCATAAACAGTTACAGTCTCCCAAACTCACACACACACTTCTACTCTATCATCTAGGGTCTCTATGCGTCGGCATTGACTCGAAGACGGTGAGTTTTTTGGTCTTGTTTTGGCTTTTTGAGATCATTCAGGTGTGCAGCCAGGGTTGGCAACCGTTGCCCGTTGCCATGGTTCTTCCAGGAATATGACTGAAAGTGCCTTCACGTCTCCTTGTGTCTGCCCACTGAGAGCCTTGCCTTCCAGGTCATAACCGTCAGTGGCTGCTCGCAGAGTGACCAACCGGACGCCGAGCCGGGAGGAAACAGCGTCTCCAGAGGAGAGGACGGCAGCGAGAACTGGCTCGCAGTGTCTACCTTTAGTCACATAAGTATGTCACTGCCTCCAATCTTGGGTTCTGAATACTTTGGTGGCGTTTTCTCAATGCAGGGTCTTTAGATCCCTGGTGGGCTCTGTTCTTGCTGCAAGAGGAAATGAGGGACAAGGCAGTTGATAACACGTCTGAAGAATGGCCTTTTCCAATTTTTAGTTTTTTTAAAGGGATGCATTTTCCATTTGTTTAATTGAATCGTAATTAGAACCCAGAGAGAGAGAGAGACAGAGACAGAGAGAGAGAGAGACTTAGAGTCTCCTACTGTCAGAGCGTTGAACCTGCTCAGGGTGTTTTTCTAGAAAACATCAATTTAGCAGATTTGTGGAGAAAGGAAAAGAGTATTGGTCCAATTTTGTAAATTCATAAGGTTTCTAAGAATATATCAGGGTCCTAGGAACCCCGACACACAACTCATTGGGTTGAGTCATGGTTG